ATAAGTGCTAAATACCTTCACCTACTGAGTTCACTGCTTGGGAAATATTCTACTTTCCTTGAAAGTACCTATCAGCTGGGAAGCCCTGTTGTTTTCCTGCACTTCTCCAGAATGCATTGGAGAGACCCTGCCTTCTCCTCTCCAATGCATTCAGTCTTTGTTGTAATAGTTACTTATACCACGGTGCCCCATCGCCAATGCTTCATGACTAACTATAATCACAGTTCAGTCTCCCCCATTCTTATCCCCCTATTTCCCCAAAGGCTTCCTGAGACAGAGATTTAAAAGTCAAATTCGCTACTTCGGGTTTTTTTTTTTTTTTTAAAAATGCGCACAATAGTAGCGGTAATAACAACAATGAAATGAATTCCAGTGGAGGAGAATAGAACACTAATAATTCTGAGCCGTCCTCGTTCATAGCTGGTAGGAAAGAAATATTTCTGGAATGTTTTCCCCATTATTTAGAGACTGTAATTTCTATATTCCAGTCCTATTTTTTTTTTAAAAAAACTCTAAAGGAGGAGAAGTGTCAATCTCTGTACGGATGATAGTCTTCCTTGGGGATTTTTTTAAAATTAAGGCCTTAATATCCAGAACGGGAGGGTTGTGGGACTGGCTTGGAATGGCAGGGGGGTATAAAAGGAGGGAATCTTGAATGAAACACATCAAGGAGAAGAGGACAGACTTTCACGAAAATGAAACGAGGATAAGAGTGGAGATATTCGAAGCAGATTTCACCCGGGGGAGTGAGGGCGGGACAAAAACCACTTATGAAGAAAACGGCTTTTGACAAGATAGACCGTTTCTTTCTCTAGCATAAGGAATCGGAGGCGGGTGGGTTTGCTCGCTACTGGCGGCTGAAATCCAGCTAGATCCACCCCCCCCAAAAAAGGCCTTCCCTTCCTTCCATCTCGCTAAGCTCTAATTCCTCTTCCTTCTCAGAAGGGAACCCCAGCATGCAACGCTTTGCAAGAGGCATCTTGCAAAGCGTTGCATCTGACGGGATATTCCACCCCCGCCTTGCCAAGATAAACGTCCGATTCCTACCTTATTTACTTAGTCTCCTTTGGGGACTCCAACCCATCCCTTGGGCCAATTTCCGAGAGGGTGGGCAAGGTGAAGATACACCCCCCCCAATGAACGCAGAAGGCATTCGCCCATCTTTGGTCTCTCCTCTCTTCTCTAAAACGAGAGGCAGTCGGTTCCGAGGCGTTTCTAGGTTTCGGGGGGGGGGCATTCGTAAGCTGCCATTCACTCCGGATTTCTAACCAAAGAGGCGAAAAAGCATTGGCCTTTCTTGCTTTTCCACTCGGTCCTCGTGCCTTACAAGACGCATTTCCCTGAGGCACTTGTCAGCTACTTCTGGTAACTACTGCAGTACAGCGCAATTTGCTGGGTCCCTTTGAAAAGCCCAGCCTTTCCATGGAGGGTGAGGTTGGTGGTGTTTAAGGGGTGGGGCGGAGAGGGGAGAAGAAGAGATCCAGCTGCTTTTCTGGATATAGAATTTTGATTTTAAACATTCCTGCAAAATTAAAGTCGAAGAGGCAAAAAAAAATTAATAATAATCAAAATATCCAGCCGGGGGACCAAGGCAGAGAGGGATTAAAAACCCGGCGCGCCCGCGCAACCCTCCTTCTCCCCACCGGCTGCAGCTGCCAAACTGAACGCGCAAGAGTTCCAAGCCTGCGCTTTGTTGAAGTCTCTCTCGTGGCTCCCGCTCCCCGCGGCCCCTTCGCCCCGCCATCCGCGTCCAAGGAACCGCCTCCTCCTACCAACCAAGTTTACCTGTGCTAGGCTTTACCCAGCCTAAATAGGCAATCAGTGGCGGAGCCGAGAGCCCAGAGGTCGAGCGGAGAGCAACCCTACCTGGGAAAGGCGATTTCCAGAGATGGGTAGACTGCGACTGCTCCTTCGCGCAGTAAACCTGCCCGTCCCAGCCGTTGGAAAGAGCCCAGTGCTGGTAGCCCTCCATGGGGAGCAGCGCGTCGTGTCTTGGCTCGGGGTGCCCACTGATACCTGGAACCACCGATACGTCCAAATAGCCAGGGACCGCCTGGTAGGAGCTGGCAAAGCTCGGGTAAAAAGCAAACTCTTTGGCCCGGGAGGATAGTTCTTCGTTGGGGAGGGAGCCGCTGGGCTCGGGGTATTTTTCAGCCGGATGGTAGGCGCAAGGCTTCTGTTGCAAGTTCACGTTGTGGGAATGGGACAGGCGGCATCCGTAGTAGCTGCCTCCAAAGGGATAGCTGTAGCCTAAAGTGGCGTTAGAAGAGGCGGGAGGCGCGGGACACTGCCTGGCTGCATCTGGAGCAGGTATTTCCGTGTAAACGGAACCCTGGTGAGTCCCAATGGTGCTGGAATGACGACTCAGGACCGGGTGACTGATCAAATCCCTGCAGTGGCTCGTTGGACAGTTCCCACTGAGCCCTTCCATGGCTGGGATTTTAGTCTGGTTATTTTCATTCGGGTTCTCCTCATACACGTACATGAAAGTGTCCGCCCAGCGTGGATGCAAAATCAGCGAAGTCGTCATATCATGGTCTGCCCGAGCTTTTTAAAAACTCGACTTCCGAAAGAGGGAGAGAGAGAGAGAGAGAGAGACAAGTCCCCAACATATTGTTTACCCGGGAGCATGCGCAGAGGCGGCGGGATGGGTCGGCTTCATTAAGAAATCCGCCGGGCCACGTGACCTCCGGAGGCCTCCGATTGGCTGCCTCCCGGAGACAGAAAGTAGGAATCTTTAAAGGCAAAGTGAGTCACCCATTGATTGTAAAAGAGAATGGGGAGATAAATAAGGGGAAGGTTGGGGGATGGCGGTCTATGTTTGGCCGACACAAAGAGCTCGCTATTTGTCCTGCGAATCTTGGGTGGGTGGGTGGGGGGGAACCCACCTTAGCGCTAAATATAAAAGAGGTGATTGGATAAAAACCCCTACTAATTGTCATAATAAGGAAAATGCAGTGAAGGAAAATCTGGGATTGGGGGGTGGGGGGGTCGGATCAAGGATTTGGTAATTTTACAAGGGGAAAAAAAAGGAGAGCTGCGGAATATTAGCACAAAAAGACCTGCTTTAAAACAACAACAACAGCAATTGGAAAAGGGTAAATCTTATTGTAATGCTTAGGTGCGGTTGGGCTGGTTTACCTTCCCCACCCCCCCATCCTCGCTCCTGTTTCTGGGAATCAACTCTTGGATCTTACGGGAACTAAGGAATCTGGACGTTTATCGTTCCGGAAATTGATTTTTTCTTCTCTCGGGTCTCCAGAGTGAGGGGGGGGATCATATCTGCTTGCTTTAACATATGTGTATCAGCTGATAGTTTTGCGCAGTCCAAATGTTTTTTTTAAGAATCTTATTTTTCGAAGGAGAGCGTCTTTAAAACCTTTAATCCTTTGTTTGCTTCAAGTGTCCAATAAAATTGTATTAATATTAGAAACCTAAACAATGCTACAGTATATCTTATTTTTCACTTAAAGGGTGCAGTTGAGATTTGGCTTGCTAGTTTCCCCTGCTTTTTTTTTCTTCTTTTTGTTGATTTTTAAAAATCTTTCAAACAAACCATTATTGGGGCATAAGGAAATAAATGCAATAGGAAAAACAGAAAGGAGTCACCAACCCCACAATAACTTCTTAGATGCTTTCGAAACACTTCAACTTTTTCTGTAGATGTATTCCTTCTATGAGCCCAGCCTAATAATGTTTGTTACTTTGTGTTCAATTAATTGATTATTTCAAAGAGACTGGTTATGTTTATATTGTGTGATTATATTAAAATTTAATATTGTAACTGAACAGTGCAACAATGATTGTGTGTACTATATATGTGGTCTGAAGTTTGATTAGCATGTGCGTGCATGGGGTGTGTATGTGTGTGTAAATTACAATAAGTGCAATTGAGTGTACACAATATAAACTGAATCTGAGATGGATGGCTCATAATGAAATAGAAGGATTGCAAGCTACTCTTCCTAAGATTGATGGCTGTAATGCACGCTGGCCCCCAACACTTTGCATGCAGTACTGGATGATGGGATCAGTTAATTTGTTTATTTCCTTCTCAGGGACACATGTATCCCCCTTTTAAACATTCTCCTAATTTTGTGTCTGAAACCATGGGAAATTTTTCTTAAAAGGAGCAGGGATCTTCCATTTTCCTATCTTCCTCCTCGATCTTCATCCCCATTTTATGCAAAATAATCTTGACAAATGTGAATATTAGGATGAACCAGGATTTTGGTGGTGTGGGGAAAAATACAGTTCTGAGAAAGGAAAGTGGAGTGGAGAAAAAAAAAAGCGGCCAAATCTTGCCTATAGCTATCATGTAGGTTTACTCAAAACCAAGTTACATTGAATTCGGTGCCTTTTATTTCAAACAAAGATAGGTAGGGCTATTGCTTCCAAGATGCTATAGTCAACAAAGTTAACTTATTGATCAAGAAGAATCTACTATAATAAATACATAAATCAATAAGTGAATCCAATCTAATATAATTGGAGCTGTACAGCCAAAAAGGCTGAATATCCAGGTTCCATGATACCCACCTATGAGTCAAATATCAATATTTTCCTATATTAAGGAACAGTAGTGGCACATTAGCTTTTCGCTCCCAGAATTTAAGGAGAATTATCAATAAATGCAGGAATAATTACTCTTTCTGCACTTCCAAGATAATTACTGCCTGCTATCAATAAAACACCTTGGTGTGAGGTGAAGCTGGAAAATCTATCCAATATTTCAACCAAAGAATCATCTGAAGTTTCTGCTGAAAATATAATGTCTTCAAAAGAGACATCCAGGCTTCACACGCAACTCATGTTTACACTTTTGCACACATAACAATCAAACCAGGCAAAGTCCAAGGTCAAGGTGGAATAGACAAATTGTTTCATTATCAGCCTTCTCTGACCTCAATCTTAGTGAATTTTACTTGTGGAATCAAAGTGACTAAGAATGTGTGGTGTTCAATAGGTTGGCTATTGCTAAGAATGGAGAAAACCAAGTCTTAATTCAAAAGATCTAATTTAATTTTTCTTTAAGAAATACAGAGAGCACTGGACATCCTTTTCTAAAGAACAATTTGAATGTCTTAAAAAGTTGATACACATTTTTAAAACATGAAACACCGAAGACATGCTCTTAATGATTTTGGCAATTGATTTTATAAAATCAAGTCATATATCAGTCAGGAGAATAAACTGAATAAAATAACAACACACATCTGACAGTACATGTAAGAGATATAAGAGTTTATATATAAATGAAAGAGTACTCTCGGTTTAAAATTATGTCCAGAAATACTAAACTGTGCCAGTTAATTTTAAAAGTGATTTCTGAGTAAATGAGACAAAAATAATTAAAAGTTGACTTTGATCTTTTTCCAGATTATGTAAGTTTATTTACAATGTTCATTTCAATGAAATATAGTTTTAATTAACAGTTGGATTTTACAGTTTCATTTCTGTTAGCACATCTTAAAAGGAATCAGAAAAATTAAGTGAAGAAAACTGAATGAAGAATCTGCAAATTTCATTCTCTGAGAGAAACATTAATTTTAAAACTTCTTAAGAAGTTAAGTCTTTCTTTCTTTCTTTCTTTCTTTCTTTCTTTCTTTCTTTCTTTCTTTCTTTCCTCACAGCAGTTTATTCCTGAGCCATAAGACCCCCTTTATTTATTTGCCTTGTCTTAAGCAGTTTTTCATTTCATAAATTGTTCAGCACTATCTCATTTAAAGGGGCTGATCTGGCTAAGATAGGGAGCTGTTGGCTGATAACAGAAATCAATTTTAGCAGGTTAATTAACTTAAAAATGCACACCAAGGCAGGCTTGTAACTTTGGAAAAAGAGGAACGTGAAGCTCCGCTTATGATTATGTCAATGTAATATAATAAATAAGAAAGAAAGGAAGGAAGGAAAAGAAAAGAAAAGAAAAGAAAAGAAAAGAAAAGAAAAGAAAAGAAAAGAAAAAGACAGCCACGTTGACTCCTGAGAGATTCCTTCATTTTGCACCCCTTTCCATTCACGCATGCGTGCACACAAACAGAAGAAAAATAGAAAGACCTTGAGTGAGAGAAAGGGAGAAATCTGAAACATAAAACGACAGGACAGCCCCAAGTTTTACTCAAAAGTAAGACCCACCCTTTCTAAAAGTTTTGTCAAGGAAAAAACAGCCGTCCTGATGAGGAGACCCCAAGGAATGGAAAGATTCTACTTCCTGCTGGTTATACCCAGATTGCACTGTTAAGGTGTAAATGTGTTTAGTATGTCCAATAAGCAGTAAATTGGGAACTTTTTGTAGAGGAAAAGGAGGAGGAAGATGATAAAAAGAAGGATTTCATTTGGAAAGCAACAGCCTAACTCTTCCTTGCTTTAATTGCAATGACTCTGATCCGATTATAGAAATGAAGGATGTGTTCGAAGAATGAGATAAAGTACTTAATTGCAGTTAGTGATTAATTGCCAAGAACGCAACAAACTGAGCCCTCTTCTGGAACTTGAATATTTAGTTAACTCTGATATGTTGTAAAGGACAGATAAGGAAAGTTTCCTATAAGTCTCTCCCCTGATCCATGTTTGTAAAAAGCAAACTACAGTACTAAAAATTGAGAAAATGGTCTACCTGTGTAGACCAGCCTGAAGTGAGATCTGCCTCCTTTCATTTCTAATTTATTTCTAGGTAAAAAGGCAAGGTTGAAATGTCATTTTTTTCCACTCCACCAACTCCGGATCGGCCACCAGAGTTATTCACAAACTCTCTATATTCTTTCTAAAATACTTCAGAGACTTAACATAATCCAATGCTTGGCAACTCAGAAGTACATTCCACTGAGTTTAATGGGGTTTATTTCCCAGTTGGTGTTTACAAAATTGAAGTCCAGATGCACCTTATTTTTAAAATGGTACATTTTGTAGACTCGCCGGCAACGGAGCACACCTAAACAATAGTTTCATACAGAACCTGCCCCCCCAAACAGCACAGTCTGGAGTTAGTTAGTTGGAGATAGTAAGAGATGTGTAAATTAATTAAACCAACAAGTAAGCCAACCCTCTTGGGACAATCATAGTAAACCTGCCCAGAAATTACTGAAGAGAGTCCGCTGCTTTTTGCGGGAGGAAAAAGGAGGCAGTTAATTTGGAGCTGCAGAAGAACAGCCTTTATAATGTCTTAAGTATGTCCACCTGTCAAAAGGGGGAGGGGAGGAGAACTACCTTTGAAAAATGCTGCTAAAGGAACTTTTTAAAAGTATCCCCCGTCCACTTACTACAGGCATTCTACCAAGGCACTCTATCAAATTTTGGAAATAGGTTTCACAAATAGAATGGAATGTTGGCTTTTCAAGATAATTCGTTCCTAGATCCCAGTGGAAACCCTTGGCAGACTAGGACTCTGAACCAGTCTTTCTCTCCCCCTCACCTGCAAGGAAGTCCTCTCACTGGTAGGGTGCCTCACCAGTCGCCACTCGGATCATCCTGACCATAAATAAACATCGGGGCTGAAATCAGGAATACTCCTTCAAGCACTCGGGGAAAAGACAGACAAAAAGAAAAACCGAAACCACCACTGCTTGAGAAGTGTAAATTATAATGTAGAGTTGTACTTTTCATTATTAAAATGTGAAGATGCCCAAGACATTATCATTGCTCATAAGAGTTCTTTAAAAAAAAAAAAATCAAAGTTTTTCCTTGACTGGAGCCTTGGTATTGTTTTTTGTTTCTGAAGGATTCTTTCTATGTTTTGTTCAGACTCATCCGTGTTAAGGCCACGCCTTTGCAAACTTCTCCGTTTCATTGTGTGTGTGTGTGTGTGTGGATTATTAGCCCCCTTTCTTCATTGGAGAATTGAATTAATATAATTGTCTCAAGATGTCTGGATCCTCCCCAAGGCATGAAAAAAATAAACCAAAACACAGGACTTTGTTAAATACACTCTCCAAAAGCCCTTGGAAAAGTTTCCTAAAGAAATGGCTCGGCCTTCCCACATTCATAGCCCAAGGAACGGGAGGCAAGTGAAGCGTCCTCTTATACTCCGACTCCCATGTCTTTTCCCACTTCGCCACAAAACTTAAGTTGGCTGTGCTTGGTTTACACGGGACGATCTCAAGGTATCTACCTTCCATTGGGAGACTGAGAGCCCTGAGGCGGCGGTTGTAGACGTCCGGGCTGCGTTTTCCTCTTTCCTGCCTACCTTGGGTCTAAGAGGCCTTCGAGAATGGAGTTGCCTCGAGAAATAGTGGGGGAGGGGGGATCCTGTCGGGCCATGCTGGAGGAGGGTCTTGTGCTTTTTGCTCTCGGCTTGCGACGGGCCACATCTTTGGAGACTTGGAGAACCTTTACGTCAGGGGTTCCTCGTTCTCCCTCTGCGCCGCCACCTCTCTGACGAAAACGCACGGCCGGACGTTAAAACGAGTGCAATCCTAGATCCAAAGACCAACGAGGGCCGCGTTAACGACGATAATTTTTTCCGTATTTTTTCACCCCCCAGCTTTAAAAGCCTTTTCTGCTTTTACCGCCAACTCCCCGCCCAGTTGGCATTTTAAAGAATCCCGCTCGCCACCGAACAATTCTTGGGGACTGAGCCGTCGTTCACCCCGCTCACCCCCCAAAAATGATCTTTTTTTAAAATTTTTTTAAAAAAGGCTTTCTTTTCATTTCAGCTCTGCACTCCCATCGACAGATACAGCGCTTCTTTGCCCCCCCCTCCTTCCGTTCTCTCCCTCTGTTTTGAGAGCGGGGATAAGGCATTCAAGGATATACATAATTTAAACCAAAAAATCAATACGTACATGCATCACTTTTCTTTTTAGCATAGGCTCTCTGAGCCGTGCTAGCCCGATGAAGGCTCCTTCCGCCTGGTAAATCGAAGAGGGTTTCTCTGGAGCGGCGGGAAGGAGGCCTTCTGACCGTGGAATACAGGCGGTCCGGGGTTCTTCATTCAACCGTGTCCCCCCCACCCTTTTTTTCTTAAAACAGCACCGGCATCTCTTCCCCAGCACATTAAGAGCCCTCTCTCCTGCCATCCACCCTCGCCTCCATAGAGCCTTGACAAAGGGCTGTGAGAAAATGGGAAACTGGTTCCCGAGAAAGGGATTGTGTGTGTGTGTGTGTGTGTGTGTGTGTGTGAGAGAGAGAGAGAGAGAGAGAGGGAGGGAGAGAGAGAGAGAGAGAGCCCCTTTTAAATGTGTTTAGTTCCAATGGCTTCTCTACGTGATGGCTTTACGCGCGCACACACATACACTGACTCTTTTGTTAATAGTGCACTTACCCCTTAGGCTATGATTCAGAAGCAGACAAATAAAACTACCTCTTCTCGTTTAGTGCCCTGTCTGGTTGGAAGTCCAAGTTCATTTCCAAGTTAAAAGGACCGGTAGGCTCCCTTCTCAAGTCACAACTGGAAAGGGGAGAAATTGTTGGGCCTTATTGTTTAGCTCAACAAACCGGTATCTCCAAAAGTATTGGAAACACCAGACTTGACTCTTACCCTGACCACTGATGGAAGCAAGTAGGCATTCACATTCTGATTTCTTCTCCCTTGAGTCATTTGCTTTCCATTTTATTTCTCCTCATTTTTTTTAAAAAAAAGTATGTTTCGGAATAGAATAGAATTGAATACTTTATTTGGCCAAATGTGGCTAGACAGGCGAGGAATTTTTGCTAAAGCATAGAACACAGAATATTAGCTACTGGATAAACTCTCTACCTTCGTTCTTTCATGCGGATGTCTTGGAAAAACATTATCAACGGGAGGCTATTAGCAGGAGAAAAGATTTGACTTCCTGGATTTCAGACAACTGTATCCAATAAAAATTCAAAAAAAGGAAGAGTGTCCCAGGTATGTGATAGCTCTTTTATTTCTATTTTTTTTTCTCTGAGCTTTTTCGGTTTCTCTTTTTAAAACTGCGATCTATGTTCATTCTCTACCTGTCTCTGGGGAAAGCGCCGATGCTTGCAAGCATGCACGATCTTGGATCCTGCTTCAGCTGAACATCTATGGACTCATCTCAGACCAAAAAATTGGGTGTTGAATTTTGTCAATTTGCTCCTTTCCATTGAACTTGCAGTTTTCCATACACACTTCCCAGTGATCCTGGAGATTACATCCGGAGAAAAGGAGGCAGAGTGTAGGATTGGGTGATCGGCTAGAAGAGTAAAAGTTGAAGAAGTTATGCTGTTGTTTAAACTTAAAGCAGGAATAATTAATTATTTTACTAGGCCTTTAGACTGTTCCAGTTATGAACAGCTCCAGGCACCACACATCCCAACTTCTACAAGTTGTCTTAAAAACAATGCAGTAAAAAGAAAGCATATTATTGATATTAATAAAGTGTGCGTATATGTACATCTCTCTCTCTCTGTATGTGTATCATGCTGTATATCTATCTATCCCGGGGAACGTTCCTCAAATTAATCCAATTCACTGAAACCCCCCAAAAAATATTTTCCTGCCAGACAGTTGATACACCATTCCGTTGCCCAAAGCCTGATGTAATATCTAGCGAACTGATTTGTGTGGATTATTGGCCACTGTTTTCCCAGGGGCCAATAATCCATACAAAGCAGTTCGCTAGATATTGGACCAGGGGTCCAAAACAGAAAGGGACTGCTTGTGTTCCTGAGGAAAACTAGGAGGGATGAGATCAGTGGGTGGATGGATGCGAATGCTGTTGCATAGAAAGGGTGCAGGGATTCAGAAACCTTTCGTGGGTCTTGGTTAGCAAGGCTGTCTCTATCTGATCTTATTGGACGGGCAGATAATATCAGGAATAAGTAGTCCAGTAGACATCTATTGTAGAAACAAAACAAGCCCATTCTGGTTGGACTTTGTCAACGCAGTCTTTCTTGTCCTCTGTATGCACACACATGGAGACCTATGGAGTGATCTACGGAGTGATTCATTTCTCTCTAAATATATATCCCTACATCCTCTACTATGAGATTTCCCATCCACCTCCAAAAAGAGAGAATTACTTCAGGCATATCTCTTAAGCTAAGAAGTACTTTTCCAGCTTATATGAAGGAAGTATGAACCAGGTTCTTGGAAGTTCTGCCATATGCTTATAAACTTTGAAATCCCCTCTGATCCTTCTCTTTGCAAGTCTTTAGATGCCTTCTCTTCAGCCCTGCTGAAAGAGTTTGCTTTGCTGCAAACTGTTGCTTTGGTTTTCTTTGGTCTCCGGTTTGTTTTTCATATGTTTGGTATTATTTTGCTGTCTTCTGGAAATTCTCGTCCTGGTGGGAGATATTGGTTTCAATCACGGCAAGACATCCAGCTGTATTTGGGGAAGGGAGCCTTTCAGAACACAAAGCTTGTTCTTCCCCAAGTGCATTCGAGAGATTAATACCTTGCCTATCACTTGTTATATTTTTACCTTCAGGGCTGCAGGTTTCTCTCTCCCCAACCTGTGTGAAGGGATGTGTATTTTCTTTCTCCGTCCCTTTTGTTCTGTGGTAAAATACTCTCCGCCAGGCCTGTTAAAGGACTTTACCTCTCAATGATCTATAATGGATATATTAATTTTAAACTCCGTGGCCAAGTTTCCTCTCCCCTCCCTCCCCCTGCAAGTTCTTAGGGCACTTGAGAGCGAGAGTTGCTACAGCAGAGCATTAAAATAAGTTTATACATCTCACCTCCAAGGCGCATGATTTTGGGCCCAGGTTAGGTCACCCGACTAGTATAACTCTCCATTTCATCACAGGAAGAGAAAGAGGCCCCCTAAAACTAAGGAAAAGTCGGTCTTTTCTACCCATATGAGCAAAACAAAGAAACTTGGCCTTTGGCCAGATTGAACATGGCGATAATAACTCTTCAGTGGGAGTTTTGGGATCTTTGATGGTTTATAAATCAAGCCCTTTTTTCCCCCTTTTTCCACAAGGAACAGGCAGTCCTCCATTTTACACATTTATAGGGAAGTGTACTGTCTTTGGGTGAAAAATAAGTAATAATAAATGTGGGGGATTGAATCTTCTCATTGACTGCAACAGACCAGAAACTGGGTCCTTGGAGAATTACTTGAAATATTGAAATGGGAATATAAGAGAAATCTTTCTCTTTCTCTTCCCCATCTATGTGACTATGTGTGGAGTGTGTGTGTGTCTGTGTGTGAGAGAGAGAGAGAGAGGGAGGGAGGGAGGGAGGGAGGGAGGGAGGGAGAAAGAGAGAGACAGACAGACCCATATTTCAAGCAGATCCTAACCAAATTTAACTCTTAAAGGAAGCTCTCTTGATCTTCAGCTTGCTTGGAATAACACCAGTTTGCCCTGAACATGCAGTGGATTAAAGATGACGAGACTTTCATTAGTCAGGTTTTTCAAATTATAGATTATCTAGGAACCTCAGTATGAATAGATTGGTGAATTCCTTGGTGAATAAACTTGATCAAAGTGATCAAACAAAAAAAACCTAACCAGCTGCCAAAATGGATCTCATCTCTCCTTCTCCCTCTCCCCTCCACACGAGCACAGACACATGCACACATACTTACTTCCCATCCATCCCCTCTCCATACTCTGTAGTGGGCAACAGGAATTCTGGTTTGTAATGCACACCAGTAGAGATATAAATTATTTATAGTGTGCCTTTCAACAAGCACTACATGCTTTAGATGTTAAAGGCTTGAAGGATTCTTCTTAATATCTGGCTTGCAGAAAGATGGCGGGGGATGGGGGGGAAGCTTCAAATATAGCTTCCTTTGCTCTGGTGCAAGAATCATGTACATTCCTCCTTCTCATAAAGTTCAGACACAGAAAAAGGAAGGGGGTGTGTGTTGTCTATCAGAGACAGCTTTGGAACAAAGAGGGAGCCCCTTCATTTCCACCTAATCTATACCCAGAAGGAAACAGGAAACCATGGCTTGGTTACTACTCTGAAATATTTGAGTAGGTTTTTTTTTTTTTAATGAGTCAATTACAGTTTCTTGCTGGAGCAGAAAGGAGAAAGTTAAAAGTGTTATTATTTAGTGGTTGTCTCCTATTCCTTGTATTGCAACCAGAGATTAATTGTTAAGAGCTCTGTTTCACCCATGGGAACTTTCCCGGGGTTCCTGCAGGGCTCCATTTTGTTCTCCGAGTTATTTAACATGTACATGAAGGTTTTGGGGAAAAACCATTCTCAGGTTTGGGGATAGTTGTCCAGACTCTGCTAAGGATGCTCAGATTTTTTTTTCATGTGGTTTTTGGTGACTGATATTACTAGAACCACCATGTGTTTTCAATCTTAAAGAAACTAGAAGTGGGGGAATAAGATGAAGACAGAGGGAGGTATAATTATTCTGGGGACTGTACTTCTGGATTCAAGAGATATGCCTATTCTGGGAGAGTTTGCACTCTCCTTGGAGGAACAGATTTGGAGTAAGAGAATTCCCATAGAAGAGAATAAATCTAGCTCTGGGGTTGAACAAGAATTCCTAGAAGCTGGGCATTTTGACTAATCAGATATTAACAGACACACAGGTATAAACCACGTTTACACACCATTCAAACGATACAATAAACTAGCTGAATGAAACAACAAGATCAGAACACATCTTCTCCAGCAGCCAACACTCAGATAAGCAGGGATTAAGAAGACCAAATAATAAAAGAGAATATTTGTACCTTAAGGTTGAACTGTGGAGACTTTGGTACACTCTGAGCTTGGTTGATTGTTTGTTTCATTTCCAGACTAGGTAACATCATAACTAACCAGGGTGACATCATACATGGTCAGGTAATGAAATGTCTTGCAAGCAAACAACCAAGCTTAGAGACCACCAAGCACCAGACAAACATTCAAACAGAAAACAATACCTTAATCAAGGAACTGCCAAGGAGAGAAAACCATCCCCCCCCCCCATCAACACTGACAGGGTAAACTACTGTATATAAACAGGGAGCAAACCCCATGCTCATTAGCATTGATGATGTTACCTAATTGGGTGATGTTTGCAAGCAAGTAACAAAACTCAGAGAACAGTAAAAGAACTTCATAGAAGATTCCTCTGGTTCATCTGCTTATGATGGAAAGCCCTATAGTATTGTTTGTGAAGAGGTCCTTGACACATTTGAGTGACTAAATAGGTATATCCTTATCCAGAGGAGAGCAATATGGGTGGTAACTAATATACTGGTAATCTGAGGGTTGGTTGACTGCAATGTATTTTCCCCTGAAGATGGATCAGAAATGCAGCAACGCAATGTGGGTTTTGCAGTGCCA